GAGTTGGAAAAATCGGGGATGGGATTTAAAAAAAAAAAAAAAAAAAAAAAAATCATTTAAAAAATGTAAGATTTTGCAGAACATCTTGACCTGAAACAATATGGCTCTTCAGTTTCCGCGACTATAATCTTTAGTCTCCTCAACAGGTAAAGGGGGAAAAAACTACACTCGATAATATTATCCCTCAACACACACAGCATCTGCGAGATTAGTGGCCCATTCTTTCTTTGAATTGCTCTCCGTTTGCAACCCAACGCTCGATATTTTCAACCCGCGCTCCAGTCGCCGCCTCGTAAAAAAAACGATAGCGCAGAGAAGGGAGCGAGATGGTCTCATTCCTCTCTTAACTGCAAAGTTGTGGCTATGAAAAACAACTATAAGGAGGATAGATGAAGAAGTGGGGGAGAGAGGAGTGCAGCGGAAAACAAGAATGATGGAGAAGCGTCTGGTGGAGGAGGGGGGCAGGTGAAAGGCAAGAGGATGATGGGGGAGAAAAGAGGAAAATAAAGAAGAGTTGGAGAGTGGTGTGTGTGTGGGGGGGGAGGAGAGGAGAAGGAGGCGGTTGAAGACATTGGGATCTTTAGGCCAATGGCACATATAGGAGACTATGTTTACTAATGGACACCATCAGTCATCCACCCATGTTGCCCTGGTGATATCGGAGCACTCTCGTAAAATAAGAGAGACACATCGAGAACAGAGAAAATGGAACATATCAGCGGGAGTCTGCAGATCTATGGCTAGCCTACAGACAATGTTATCCACTCAGAGCTTCTTTTTTTTTTTTTTTTTTTCTTTGTAGGCTAAGCACTCCCGGGCAAAGAAAACACACATTTTGCTGTCTTTTATACCCTAGAAGCAATATTTGAGAGAGGAAAATTACCTCTTTCTATGGAAAAAAAGGCAAAGAAATGGAAACAGATCAAAAGGCTGCATGTTCTGCGCTGAGCTTTTTTACTTTACCGAAAACAGGAGACGACATAAACAAGACGAAGCCTGAAAATGAGTGTTTCAACTTAAATGTCATGTCTAGCATTGAGGGGCTTACCGCAGGAGGATGACTCAGGCCGTACATCTTATACGGAGAACACAGTGGGGAAAATAAGACTGTTACAAATAAACAACCAAGCAATTTGAAATTTCTTGAACAGTTTTTCATGAGTGTGTTTAAACAATGTGCAGTTTTAGAATGGCATGCTGGCGATTATATCACACTAACATCGCTAAGTATTGCGGTGACGATATTGGCTGCGACAAAACCTAAGTTCATAACACTTGCAATACATTGTCGGAGTGCAGCCAGTGTGTGATGGAACTTAAGTTCCATAAATACAACAATTTAAAAAAACAAAACAACAATAATAATGAAACACTGCAAATACACGATTGTTTTGCAGGCTCTAAATGCCTGTACTGCGTGCAATGGAAAAGGTTAGATTGCTGTTCTGTCAGCTCAAATACCCCCGGCTCTCCATTGTTCTATTTTTTTTTTTTTTTTTTTCCAAAGTACCGCACACATCACGCTGCAAGAAACTAATTTTCTTCGAGGGTACAAATAACCTGGTCCTTTCAAACATCTCAATAACTGCACATGAAGCCCTGGAGAGAAGCCTGATCGACAGCAGCGGCGAAACCACAGACTGTTTAGCTCGACTTGCACTCTCAGCTGCTTGTTCGTCTGGCTTTTCATTCCCATTTCGACGCAGGCCATTACGGTCATAAAAAGGGAGACAACACGTTCGCAGAACAATCCGTGTTCTGACATTCCCGTATAGAACCGTGGGTGCATTTGCGGGCAACTGTTTTGTATGGGCTGTATAGAAAAGTGCTGTGTGACAAAAAGACAAATGAGATATAGAGCAGGGGCTTTTTCTTGCAACTTTGCAAGATAGAAAGAGTTTTGTGGAGCCTCTGCGAGTGATCCAACATAATTAATACTTGCAATAACTTTCTGCTCTTTACGGTAATAAAGCTACTCTTAAATGTTGCCTTGTGCTACTGTGATGCATATTTTCTTGTTAGCTGGCTCCAAAAAGATGCTCAGGGACATGTATTTTTTATTTTTTCAAATAACAGAAAAAAAACATCACGAGCACTGCAAATTTAAAAGCTTGCTTTATCTGCACCGTCTCTACCAGAAAGAAAGTATGCATTGTAGCATAGGCAGTAAAGAGCTTTTGTTTAACGACAGGCAGAAGGTTAGAGTAATATGCATGCTTTAATCTTGAGGGGAATAAATGCTTTCGCTGACTAAAACTTGCTCTTCTCTTCCTACCAGCTATTAACATTAATGACTGATTCGGAGTAGCGTTTGCTCTTTGCGTACGTCTACGTTCTAATTGAAAAGTAGGTTAAAAGGCAAAAATCTGTTGCAGTCTTAGTGCAACTAAACTGTTTATGAACATATAATTTCTATTTGGGATATAACAAAACATTTGACTCACAAAAAGACATGACACACAGTTTTGCATCCTCAAGAACAAGAAGATCACTTGTAGTTTTACTGGGAAAACTTTGATTTTATGGCATGGTATAATCCACCGTCGCTTGATGTTACTTTTTCTTTTAATCTCTTCCTTTCACACAGTCACGTCTGATTTAACACTGCCTGTTTTTTTGTTTTTTTTTGTTGCTTTTTTTTATCAGTCATTAATGAACATTTACAGCTGAGTAGCTTGCAAGTAATTTTCTAAAACAAAAAAACAACAACAAAAGTCTGAACTACCAACCCTCACCTCTCAAACAGTCGTATAGTTTAAATTTGGCAGCTCATGAACTGAATGCAAATAAAAGAGTAAAACTGACCAACCTGGTGCTAAGGCAATCATCCGTCTTGTAAATGTAAATATGACTGAGCATATGGGCAAAATATGCAGCACTATGACTGACAGTGCCTATATTAGCTTACATAACACCAGAACCAAAAATAGCACCAAAAATTGAGATCTGGACTGGAAAAAGCATCGGTATCTGCAGGTTATTTCATTCAGATTTTGGGATCTTGATAAGAAATGAATAAAAATAAACTGGAAGCTTTTCTAGTAGAAAAACACATTTGACATTAGAAATCTCTGTTAATCCTCCAGACAACTCGAACAAGACAAGCCATCTCGAGAGACAGAAATTAAAACTGATGCTTGTTACACCCACAAGATGAGCTGTAATGGAAGTAAAGGATGACAGACTCAGGAACGATGTGTTGGGGGGCCGGGGTGGGCGGGGCGTCATGGTCAGGAAAGGTCAGCCTGCACAGTGGGAAGCATGATGGATGTGCGCTGCCCAAAGGAACCGACGATATAATGAGCATGCTTTGCACTCAAAACTTCTTTAGATCAGAAAATAAGCTGCCAATAGAGCATGACAGAGACTTCCAATCTATTCTATTTTTCCCTGAAGGTTTTCTGACATGCTGAAATGAAAACAGAAGGATACAGGATTGTTCTCCAATTTATGTTGAAAAGTCCAAGCTCGAAATGGTACGAGTGTGAATCTTACGCATTTCTGCCTCTGAGATCTAAAAATTGGAGACTGAATGCGTCCTCTGCCCACATTTAATGAGTGTAAATCTTTCATTTCGTGAGATGATAGAACCCAGTTCCTATCCTCACAACTTTCTGTACCAACACACGCGCAAAGTCAGAGCGTCGCTTAAATGCCAAGCCGGCTTGTGCTCGCAGCGATAAGGGATTTTTCCCTGTGACTCATATGCAACGTCTCTCTGAAGGTTTGAGGTACGTAAAAAAGGAGAGCAGAGGGAATACGGTTTGCAGCTGCTCAGCAATCTTTCTCCAAGTCAATTAATTTCCACTGCAGAGGAATTTGCACTTAACCTTTCCATCCCCCACCCCTCCACCTCCTCTCTCTGATGTTGAACAACCTGAGCCGAGCTGCTCAGCGTATTTACTGTTGCTCCAGTAAGGCTGGAGCAGACATGAAATGGAAGCTGCCCTGTAGCCAAAGCGACGGCCCAACTGTGTAAACTGGAACAACTCCGCGAAATGAGTAAACGTCTTGAAGTGGGTCCTAAATATAGATGAAGCCTTACCTCTATCCCCGACTTTCAAAGCCTTTAATGTTTGCTCTTTGAGTCGGTCAGCTTCATGTTTCCTCTTTCGGTGCTCCTCTAATTTGATCTGCAGATCTTCGGCGGCCCGCTGAAGCTCTCTGAGCTGCGCCTGCAGAGAGACGACGGGGCAAACGTGATTACACCAAACCGTCATTGTTACAATTTAAGCGCTTTGTGATTTCTGCATTCCTGCGCCAGAACAGTAAGGCTCCTCGCCAACACGAACAGCCCTTTAGTCATACTATATTTTGGGTCAACAGCATAAAACTGGAGCAGGCAGCGCCGTGCATTCTGCATGCAAGCCTTAAACTTTTCTAATGGAGTAGGCATGTGGGTAATGGCCATTTTCCTTGTTCTTTCCACTTGTCCTGTGCTCCTTCCGGTGCATTTATCAGAACAGGAGATTGATTCACAGCCGATATACTCAGACCGCAGAGCTAATTTTTCAGACTGAATGAGGTCGTTCAAAATGGGATCCCTTGTAAGCTGTTTACGACACACACACACACACACACACACACCCACACACACACATTGCACCTACATGGAATCCATACACTCGCCCCTATTTTAAGTCATTTCCCATTCATGTTCCGTGTTCAAAGAAAGCAGTTCAATCAAACCTCAAAGATATTTATTTCTCCCTATTTTTGTGGCACATATGGGTTTGTTTTTGTCCTTAGTCTCAAAGTCTGAATATAAAAAAAAACAAAACAAAACAAAAAAAAAAAAAACATTGGTTTGGCAATGAATCCAACTGCACTCTTTAAAGTGCCTTGGTCCTTTTACTTTTTCACATTTTGCATTTCTAGCATCACAAACTTCAGGGTCTTTCATTGTGATTTAATGTAATAGACCATCAAAGTAGTGAGCTATTGTGAAGTTAAAAATTCAAACCTGCCCGTTTTCTGTCAATTTCACAATTATTTTCTAGTTCGCATTGGTCGGTCACATAACATCTGAACATCTGACCAAAATGTACATAGAAATTTCAAAGTGTTGGAGAGCAAGATGTCTGGTTTGGGAACCTCAAAGTCTAAAATTGGTTTTGTGCAGATGAAGTGGCTCTAAAAGGCGTCCTGGTCCCTCTTAGTCAGGGGTCAGTGGCTATTTCAAGTCGAGGAGTCCAGGCATTTTGACATCTTGCTTGTGAGTGAGGGAGGGTCAAAATAAGAGATGAATGGGGCTTTGATAACCACCCGCCCAAAAGATATAAAGCCAAGAGAACAAAAACAAGTTGAACCTAAATTCTTTGGTTTGTGCTCTATAAATTGGTGACTATTTTCAACTGTCAAAAGTTAAAGAAATTAAGCCAGTGCAAAAGCTATGCTGCAACCTCTTTTCTCCTCGTATTAGTTTGCATTTATATCTACATCCAACTCCTAACCACAAAGTCTGTTTAATTGCCAAAAACATATTCGACGGTGGCTGTTTGCACATCGCGGACTCATTAAATCAGCTCCGTCAGACTGACAGCTGATAATACCCAAGCAAAACCTATCATCACACTCTGTAACGGAGCAATTTGCATCAAAGAGGACCGGCTTCCTTTGTGCAAACGCGTGTCCGTGAGTGTGTTTGTGTGTCGACTCTGCCTTCCATTCTCTCCTCAGAGACGCTGGCGATGCACTGATGGATTCTGGGGGTTTCCGCCAGGGATGACTACCTTTCTAGGCCACGCCGTTTGCTTGGGTACCTTCAGTCTGCAGCAGTGATTTATGGGCTCTATTACCAGAGCACAAGAAGATTTCTACTTGTGAAGAAAACGACTAAAGGGGTAGATTCCTAAAGCTTTTCATAGCAAGTAATCTTATTGAAAAGCTATGCATTTGCTAAAACATAAACATAATCTGCCCTTTTCTCTGAAAATTTGAGGAGTTCAGAAAACAGATCAGAGCTAGCGATTTATCCCCATCATATTTCGTGCTTGAAGATGTTCAGCTTGGAATGTACAAATGTCATCAAAAGCTTACTATACAAACATGTCAGCTTGTATTTATTTATAGTTTGTGTACAAATATTGAATGGAATCTTGGAAAAAGGTTTTGATAGCAGAAGATTTGTCTTTAAGCCTCGAGCCCACAGCAGCAGGAGTTCAAATTTGAGTCATTGTATTGTATTGTAAGGTTCCCAACACCACGGCCTTGAGCTCACCCTGCCATGTCAAGAGAGACGATGATCACAAAGTGTGGAAATGCTGGAAGCACTGGGTGACACTTTAGCCCCGATCTGCCATTCAGCTGGCAGAAAAAAGGGAACGTTCGGGGCCTGGGATGGGGGTAAGACCACAAAGCATGCATGTTGGGAAGGAATAAAAACAAAGAAAAAAAAAATAATCCAAGATTGTGACTGGTTAATGTGGCAGGAAAACGCTTCATCCAATCAAATCACCTTTGTTGAGCAAGTCTCTTTTTTCTCCTCAATGTTTCATTATAAGCAAATGTTTAGAGAAAGAGATTTCTGAGATGCTCTTATGAAAGAAAAAGCTGTTGTGAGAAGTGCTTAAAAATGCCTTGAAACTAGGAGATTTCTAAACAGCGAATTGTAATGCAAAAGGATCGAGGGCAGCCACGACAAAGTCACAGAGCTGTAAAATGCGCTGCAGCGACGACGAGTCCTTCAGTGTCCATAGAGCGTATTCTAACGTGGCTGGGTCTGAAAGCCGGCCAACGCTTTGTACTGTTAATTTCAACAGTTATGTAAAAAAATGTAAAAAGGAAGAAAATACAAAAAGAAAGTTAAATCCACAAACTGTAGCAGACAATTTTACATTTCCACTCAGACGACCGATAAACATCGTTTTGATAATCCTAAACGGCAATGATGCATTGAATACTGGTGCATCTCAAGGCATAAAAACAACAATGTTCCTCTGTAATTAAAAAATGTGAAACTTCCATAGATTTATTAGACACAGAGATATTTCAAGTGCCAAGTTCTGTTAATTTTGCTAAAAATGACATAAGACCAACAAATGTTTTTTGCACAGATTTTTCAGCTGAAAAGGATGTCCTTGTACTTGACAGTAGATATACTCAGTCGTTGATTTGTGCTTCTTCTGCTTGAATCACTGCGTCGTTGCAGTGAGATTGTCAGCTTGCTGCTCTGCTGAGACGCCCAGGTTTCTTTAAGAGCTGCCTTTATCATGTCTGTGTGGTTGGCTGCTGTGTCTTTAGCCTTCTTATTAACAGCACTTTAAAGGTCCTCTATGGGATTCTGCCCAATCAAGCACAGCTATACAATTGTCTTTAAACAAAGTGTTTGTACTCGTGGTGGTTCGGGCAGATCCTTAGTTCTGCTGGACAAACGTTGAACCTCACTTTCGGACTCTGTGTCTCGCTGTTCTTCATGCGGTCTCTGGAACCATGATATACGGACTAAATGCAAAACCTTACTTTCAGTTGACAAGAGAGACTTTTAGCAACGAGCAACAGTCCAGCCTTATCTCCTCTTAGCTCAACAAAAGTGATTCCTACATCATCGCTCCTTGAAGCATGAACTACACCTGCTGTATGCGTCTCGTTAATCTCCTCCCTGAACTCATGGACCTTTTTCAACCACACTTTTTCCTTCTCTACAACTTTCCAATAATATGCTGAAATGCAGCAGAGTGTGACCAGCCAGCTACTGAGAAAGACATAAATGGAAACAAGTGATCGGACATAATATTAGGGATGCACACATATGAACATCAGATATCAATATCCGATTTTTAATATTACTATTTTGACCCATAAGCTTCCCATCATCCTTTGCTATATCGCTATCACATGACCAGTCTCCTCCAATTGCCCCCTGCAAACAAAGAGCAACAAGACGGAAACAAATATCGACTTTTAATATCGACCCAGATTTATTCATCGGACCAATACCGATGTGTTAAAAAAAAAAAAAGACTAATATTGGCCAATATCAATGTTAGTGTCGCTATATCATGCACCTCTACAAAATGTGCTGCATTATACTGAGAAAAAAATTAATAATTAGGACAACATCATAAATTCAGAGAGAAACAAATAGCCTATCATAAAGCAGACAACGTTTGGCAGACAACAAAAAAATGAATTAAAAAAAATGATTAGCCACTTAGTTGTTAAACTGCAGAAAAGAACATCTTTCCAATCCCAAACACGCAGCTGAAAATAGTTGATAAACACACCAAAAACTAAACTGAATGTGCTGTAGATTAAAAAAAAAAACGTTTGTTATTAATTATATAACATCAAATTATCAGAGAAATTGTAACATATAAAATTTCCACACAGTATAGGAGAGATTTCATAAAGCCCTATGAATCCAAAAGGTTTGGTAGAGCTAGCTCCTGTTATTTACTGGAAGCATGTGTGCAACAGTCTTGTGTCATTTACTTTCATTGTTGAGTAAATATCAGATTATTGTCACAATATGCTTACATCCAGCTGCTCATCAAGGTGGCTATCGATATTTGACATTTTTATGGAAAAAAAAAAAAGAAAAAAGAAAAGTAAGGTTTGTGTTATCAACTGGCTCTGACTGTACAACAGGCGTATGTAGCAGCAGGTGCTGTGAACATGCATACTAAAACAGCACCGCAGAGCACAAGCTGCTCACTCCGAAGAGAAATCCTCCGGATCCAGCACATCTGAAACAAAATTAACCTCGACGTCCCTTGTTCCTCGAGCGTGTTAGCCAGCTAGCCAGGTGATAACAGTGCAGTTGCAATGTGGCGACGCACGCTAGTGAGGGGAAAAGTTAATTCGATGTGCAGACGATAACAGCAACAAACAGAATCTTCACAAGGATGCAGCAAATTAAGAGCAGACTGCACTTTTTTTTTTTTTTTTTTTACCTTTTTACATTTTTTTTTTTTGGCCCCCTTAGTCATTGTAGTGCTACTGTGAAAATGTGCAGAATCTTACTGGTTTCAAATTAAGATGCTAAAATTAGGGAGGGAAATGCAAATTTTGTCCTCATTATATTATGTTTTTAACTCAACACCGTGCTTCGGGGAACATATCTGATATTTTTTCGCAGGTTGATTTTAAACTTCATTTGCATCTCTCTCATTGGCTAAATTAAGCACCGTCGTTAAATTTGATACATTTTCTCCATGTGCAATTCAAGTAAGCTAACATATCAAAATGCACCTATAAAAATTCAGTGACCAATTTCCACTCTCCCATTTTTGCAAAGATCTGACATGGCAGTACCAATTTAGATTTCTGTTTATATACGATCATGCAGGAAGATATAAGAAGAGCATGCAAATATTTTCCTTTAGATTTCGTGTCTATGCAGTCATTACGGATCTAGAAAAGCACCATGCTCTCCCCGAGATCCAGCACTACAAATCCAGGGCTTTACTACTTCAAAACAAAGAAAAAAAATGTTTAATGACAAATTAACATTTAAAGTTAACCCTTAGAGTCCTATAACAGTGATTAGCATTGTAAAAACAGCAGTCTATCTGTATGCTTTAGAAAATGCATATACTTATCTTAACTTAGAGATTTATAACAGATTGAAACATCGCCAATGACAGAATGTTCACAAGAGAACATACCCGTTCTCTTGTGAAAGGGTATATTATCTCTTTCACATGAGAAAGCCTTCTTGTTATCTGCTAAAAGTTTTGCTCTCTCTCGCTTTCCAACAGGTGCATGAACCAAAGACATTTCATAGAGTACATGGCTTTCTTTTAATAGCTTCTTTCACCTTTTGTGCTTTCTTTATTTAACCACCTAAATGTACTTAAAAGTCAACTTACTATAAGTATTGTTCATTCTTAAAAGCACCAATGATTGGCGCCGTCACCGCAACCCAACAGCTCTTGATCGTGGCAGATTGAAAGATTTATTTTCATATTACCAAAATGCTTCTTTTGGTTAGAAGTAATATTAACATTAGGGAATATGTGAAGGAAGTTAAACATCAGTGCACTGGCAAGGAGTCTTTCCAACATACAGATATGGAGCTCAGTATTAAAAATAAATGGTCAAAATATATCTGGAAAAAGGCAAAAATGCTGCTCAGCAGCTTTCAGAAAGGTGTAAAAAAGCTTAAATACACCATTTATTTAAATTAAATAAACAAAACCTACCGACTGTGTGTCAGTAGGTTTTGTTTATTTTTTTTCTACATGTTTTTAGTGTCTTGTAAGAGGAGCCCATCTCTCCGATAAAAGCTTTGAATGAACAAAAATTTAAATCTAAATCTGCCAGCGTATGAATAATTCTCAGAGTGGAAAACAACTGGATTTCACAACTGTTTCACATTAGCAAGTCCATCTGAAAATGGTCCAATTTTGGTAAACCGCAGCATTTTTATGCACAACATTCAAAACAAACTGCAACAAAAAGAAAACCTGGGAGTTGCAATTACCATTGCAATATCAATGTTTGCAATATCGCACTCGCAAAAAGAAAGCTTGGAGGCAGTTTTTGATCAAATATATATATATTTTTTTTTTAAAAAGCACGCTTTCAAACTCTCCAAGCCAAATGCATACTCACCCAGTTAGAGACTGTGTGCTTTTGATGCCCACATTAAATGTATATTTTTATCAGCTGGTGGGGATCTTATACCACAACTACATTTTTTTTTATTACTTTATCAAGTTACCTGTTTTTCCCTCCAGAGCAGCACCCCATCCTCAATCAGCTGCTGCTTGAGTCTCAAACCCTCATCCAAGGTCTTCATCTGACCCTCCACGTACGCCCGCTCTTTCTGTCCCAGATTCCTAGAGGAAAAGCCAAGAGAGGAGGCGCACAGAACAATCATTACTGAGGAAAACTTCAGCCACCCAGGCTCCGGTCAGCCAAGTTGCTGCAATCCATTTTTTTATCTTATTTTTTTTTTTTAAAGGGCCTGCGTTGCAGTAGAAATCCAAATGGGGTGGAGTTAAGACAAAAAAAAGGGGAGTAAATAAGATGCTATGTGGTGGAGTTAAATCATTTTAGAAGTCTGGCAAACAGAATGTGAGCGGGGACCTTGTGGAAACATAATGAGATCGACTGTTTCCATGTGGTACTGTTTTTTTTGTTTTATTTTAGGCTGGCAGAAAATAAATGAAACAAATAGAGGACTGTCAACAAAAGAAGTGGGTTAGTGAGCATTTACGCAGCAGCTTATACTCCTGCATATCACAATGGTCAAACATGACACGAAGCGCAGCTAAACGCACACTTCCTGATTATGACAACGGACATCTAGATTTTATGTGAGTCAAACTGCAGAAATAAATTTGAAATAAATAAAACGTTTGAGTCAAACTGGGCTTTAAAATCCATTAATTCCACATATATCAATCACTAGAGCAAGTCTGAAAGTACACTTTTTTTTTTTCTTATCATAGAGATACAACGCCCCCTGGTGGCACAATGGTTAGGTTACTATTGCTGCTCAAGTGTGGTTGTAAGCCCCTCATGCAGTTGCTGTAATAAAGTCCTCCTATTAAAAGAATTTTATTGCTGTAACTAAAAAAAGTAAGAAAGAAATTCCTCCAGATGTCCTACTGCAATTAATTCAAAATCCCCTTTACCATCTGATTTACTTTAAAGAAAAAAAAAGAAAAAAAAAACTGGGTCATTTTACAGGTACTGAATCTCAGTTTTGATCCAACTTACCAGCAAGTGTTCTGGCAGCGAGCGTGGCTGTTGTATTCGTCTGACGCGTCGCAGCAATCTGCCGAGAGACGCGGGAGAAGCCCGTCCAAACCACATAAAAACAAAAAAACAAACACAAAACAGAATAGCAGCACAGAGTGTGAGCAGAATGTCACTGCTCTAAATTAAGGGATCACAATCGTCTCCTAAAAGAGGAAACACAAGGGAAAAATGAGAATACCACACTAGATTATAGTGAAGGACAATTAGAAACACTTCAAATGTTTTAAAGGTTTCTCTTAGTGAATACGTCGACATCATGAAAAGTCGATATTTACAGCTTGAAAAATATTTACTTCCTCATAACATCTCCAATTTGTTCTTCTGTGCTAGTTAATAACCTCTACGTGAGCAGTACTCTAGCTTTTCATAATAAGTGCCACCGCAGCAATGTTTATTTTTATTTTTTTCAAAACACAACAAAGAAAATGAACAAAAGGCTCTCAAAAGACTTAAATCGTTGATCTAAGAGTTAAATTGATCTGGATTTTAAAATCCGATATGGCTCACTTGCAGTAAAGACAAAAGAGGTTTGGTTGTATTTCCTGTCCTTTTTATGTCATCAAGTCATCACACACTACTACATGACCTTGGTGAACATTTTGCTATGTTGTTTTCAGCAGAGAAACACATTGTCATTAGCTTGCACGGCTAGCAGTAATTAGCCTGGCCATTGAGCACATCGATTGGGAAATCCTGCTGATTTTTGATTCGGAAACGGAAACAAATTTCTACGTCCAAGTTCTAATGCCAGCATTAAAGGTACGGCAGTCAGGAGGACGGACAGACTGGTACAGAACCCTTGGAGTCAGGAATTTCAGAGCAACTAATGCTACCTGAACACATTATCATGTAATTAAACACCTGTAGTATCATCATCTGGGCAAACTCTGTCCTTCAGCTTCAAAAATGTACGCACATGGAATTAGACGCTGTGTAAATTGTGTCTTTATCCATCCATGTTTTCAACTGTCTTGTTCATTTTGCAGATGGGGACTAACTGAGCCACTGACTTTTCATCTTTAAAGATGAAGATTGAGTCTTTGTGCCTACATCGCATCTCTCTCTGATTCACAGAGGGTCTCTTGACATCAACCACTGATAATATCCACTGCCTGGTGTGTAGCAAATGCTCTGATCTGGCTTTTGCTCAGATGTTTCACCAGTAATGTGGGCACAGTGTGAAATTTCGCATTTATCCAGAATCCCCGTCTGCGGCCGGCAGAATGAAAAGTTTTAAGACCTTAAAAAAAAAAAAAAAACAGGGAATACGACAACCCATCTGAACTTCAAACGGGATGAGAAAAAGTGGTGATGTGTTTGGTTTTAAGTGGGTATGATGAGACAAATGGGAGGAGAAGAAGAGACAAGTGGAACATTTTGTTCTTTTGACAGTTGCATGTGGTCTAATTCTGCTTCTACGTCTATATATGTGCTCCATGAGATTAACTAGAACAGAGAGTTACTGAAGAACAAAAGGAGAAAAGAAAGGTGGTATATTTAAAAAAACAAAAAACAAAAAAAAGGACATCCATTGCGGTAAAGTGTGGCATTCAGGTTTTCAGCAGGAATAAAGAACAGTTTTGAAGGGAGGGGGGAAAAAAATAAAACTGGAATTAACAGGATTAAAGAACTTCATGGTTACATGTTGCTTCCTGCTTAACAGTAAACAAGATACAGCTGCTTGTCCAAGTCAGCAGAACGCACAGAGGAAAAACAAGCCGGATTTTTACAGAGTTAAAAAAGTACTTCAATTTTTTTAAGATTTAAACATCTATTTCCCCAGAAAACGCTTACTTCAACACTTATCTAAATATACATTCAACTCGAGTCAAAACCAGACGCTTACATAAAGTGAATAGAAAGAGGCGTTCACATTTCTTTTCTTTGTCTGAAAATAAAATTTTATTTTAGGTCAGTTAGAATTTCCAAAATAATTTCTAGTTGCTAAATTTCACAATAACGAGAGAAAGAATATTCCAGAGACTTAATTATTTATTAATGTCTTCAAAACCACAAGATGCATGTTTCGTCCGTATTTGGCCGATCAGAAATAAATCTATTTATCTATTTTTCACCAGTGCAATTCAGCATGAAGTTAAAACTTACCGCAGATGCCGTCGTTGACTCTAGATGATGGGATGTAATGCGGCCTGAAGCCCAGGTTGGTGCAGTAGAATCGACCACGAGGACACGCCGAGGTGCCTGAATAGAGCCAGATTAAAAAGAAATCAAAGGAAGAATGCAATGCAAAATAATTCTCAAAAACTAGTTCTTTTAATTAAACTAGTTCATTGGAGCATTTAAAAATTCCAAAATTAAATTCAGCTTTTATTGCAGAACATCTGGCTTCTATTTGAGTGCATTTATTCAGTAGATTTATGCCTAGGAACGAGAATAGGCATGGAAAATGGCTGATTTTATGTCTGGTAAAGGAAAAATTAAGTCATGTTTTTTGATCTGATAAAAGTACAATTTAAAAAAAGCGACATTTATTTTAATAAAGGGATTTTTTTACACAATTTTAAATTATTTCAGAACATTCTTAATATTTTTTTACTCAAAAAAAAAATACTGAAATTGAAGATTGTAGTTTTTCCTATATTTATGTGTAATATTCTGCCACAAAAGATTAATTTATTTTTAAAGGACCTATAAACAGTTTTATCGAAAGCAATAGGTGCATGTCAGTTGCATAACATACAACTGTTTTTGTTTTTTTGTTTATGGGCTTATGGATTTCTGTTTCTTTTCTCCTCTAGTTTATGTTTATCATTGATTCATATTTTTATCTGGAATTCAACAAAGACAACAGTCTGCAACTGTTTGTACCAGTTTTAAATGATGAAACACATTTCTGTGGAAGAAAAAACAAAAACATTGACCTATACTCCTACTTTGGATGCAAATTCTGAACTAATTCCAACCTTGTTTTGAATATGAAAACTATTCATGAGAAAATGGACAGTTATATGTTATCTAAGCGGAGGTCTGATGAAGAGCCACCTTTATTATCGCTCGCTTTTACTGGACTGTATCTGATCTAAAACTCCACCAGGCTTGACGATATAGGCGCACTCAACATGAGCTCAGTTTGGCATCATTAACCTCCTACTTGTGCTGCTCCCCCTGTGCGTAGCGGTGAAAGAGGGTTATTATAGCACTTACACTGATGCTGGCAATGGCAGAGTTTATTAATGACCCTTTCAGTAGACCACAGACCCCATTTACAGGAAACTTTTTTTAAATTAAGCAATAAACAGTTTTATTTTATTCTTAAATTTACAAAAGTTTAACTGAATGTTTCGAGGCAGAGAGGTGTTTGCAATATTTCAGCTCATAAAACATTAGACATTTTCATGGTATTTAGTTCTTCATCGTAGATTCTCAATAAAAGACACCAGGACCAGAGAAAGGTTTTGTTGGTAGACTAGGATGCTGAGTCACAATGACATGGCAACAAGTCTGTGTATAGAAATAAACATGAAACACTTCAAACCAGACTCCTGGTGGTAGCAGTCTGAGCAGCCTGCAACTGGTCAAGGCTAGATTTTAAAAGACAGTCACAGAATCATCCAGACAAGACAAAACATACATTTAAATTTAAATTTCAGGAAGGCACTGGAGCCCGGCTGGCAATATTTATTAAATGATAGAAAGTGGACTATTTTTAAGCAAAGATAATTATTTCAGTTTATTATTATTATTATTTTTATTATTATTATTATTATTATTTTACCAACTAACTGCCAGCCTTAATTGAATTCAGCCATTTTAATTTAATGTGCAGTTTTGAAAGTGAGTAGGAGAAATATGGGAGCTAAAGGGAGCAGATACAGCAAAATTAACAATGGCCCTGAAACTGAACCCTGTGGAACATCAAAATGGAAAGCTGATTTAGTCAAGAAGATCTTGTATATATACCCACAACTCTTTGCTGCATGTGACAATATGTGACGTTTTCAATTAAGAGGTGGAAATATGGCAATGTTTTTGTTTTGCGTTTTTGCAATTTTTGAAAATTCAAAGAAAGGGTTTGAGATTCTCATTCAAAAAGCACTATGACTGCACATTTCAGAGCGCAGCGTAGGGTGTAGTGCGAGTATTGGGCCTTAACAGCCCAATTGTACATGCGTCATATTGTGAGTGGCCAGTTTGCCTTGGAAACCAACACAATTATTCTTAAGAATCTGGGTATTTCCTTGTAAAATAAATACTAGAGTTCACATTTAATTAATTATTTGATCAATCATTTTATCTTACATTAAACTATAATCATTTTAGTACTAATAGCAGTGATCATTACAAAAAAAAAATCTGCATATGAAAATATGACAAAATAACCCTTATGAAACACAGTTTAATTTAATCCAAGCTTAAACGTAGGAACTAGACTGCATATAGTTCAACTATTTTGTCAACAAAATAAAAATAAAAATAAAAAGAATCAGTAATTTAAGTACTAACCTCTTTTAGTATAAAAATTAGTTGGCTTTAGGGCAACTAATAGAAGTGTCAAACTCATGATGATCTCATTAAGATTAATGTGTCTCCTTTCACCTGGCTTAAACAACCAAACCAATTAAAGATTATGACCATCTGAACTAAACAGAATATTGCAAAACAGCTTTAATGTTGCTGCTCAAAAGAGTTGAACACTTTATTTCTAAACAGAGGAATACAAATATAATATTGTACAGTCAGACGTCTGTGCCTGCAGCTAATGATTACACAATCCTGAAATCTGAATGATTATTCCTGTTATCAATCCATGTTTACCTGGTTCATCTGACCCATCTGCGCAGTCGCAGTAGTCGTCGTTCACCTGCTCGAAAGGAATCATTTTGGACCCGTCTATGCACAGAAATGACTTCCTCTCCCTGTAGAACCTTTTATCTGTTAAATCAGGAGAAAATATGGCCATGAGCTACAGAGAAAACACATAAAGACAAAATAAGAGTCACTTTATGAAATTTACGTAAATAAATGGTTGTGACTCTATGAAATATACATGTTTGTTCCTCCAACCGCAACCTATACATCTAAACGTTATGCATATCTATTACAGCCTGCGGTGAGATCAGCTATATATGAACTAGTTGTGACTATGAATGAAGAATTATTGATAACATAAATACGATGTCAGCGACTTGGCTTTAGCTTAAACGGTGAACTGAACTCACAGGACGAAGATATTCCTCGGATTTTCCGCGACTCCACAAACGCAGCCCAGAGAAAAGCTGCGGTGATAATGTGGAAACGCATCTCAGAGGACAGAAATGAGCACTGCCCGCTGTCAGCCACGTCTCATTAAAGTCCCGCTCAAGGATATTTCAAACTCAGGATGCAAGACCAGCGTTTAGACCGTCCATGTTCCAGCTTCCTGAAACATTCCACAACGTGACACTTCCCAAGCTTCCTATTGGTCAGAGGCTGAGGGTTGGACCAATCACGAGTTAGAAGCGTAGCACGCAGGAGACGCTGGAGAAACATTTGTTTGTATTCAACGTTTGAATATGGGTTAGACTCTATGCTAGTAACATACTGGAAAGTAGGTAGTAGTAGTAATAATAATAATAATAATAATAATAATAATAATAATAATAATAATAATAATAATAATAATAATAATAATAAATTTTCTCCCTTTTTTCCCCCTTTTTTTTTTTACACATACGTTTCATTGAACACCTAGAAGGCCATTATAAGATGTCAGTTAAGTGTTTCACTATGCATTCTGGTTGTTTTCAACCCTTATTAAGTAATCTGAATACAAATGTAGGTTATTGCTTTTAGAAAGCGAGATTATGTAGGCAAAAAGGTTAAAATGTTTTTTACTGATGTAGTGGAATATTTAATCTTTCAAACCTTGCAAACTTTTTCACCTCTTGGACTTTTTTTTTACATTTTGTCACATTGAACTCACAACTTTAAAGTATGTTATTGGTATGATCATAGATGGTCTCCATCAAATTTGACAAAGATTTTACTATAATGGCAAAGCGACTCAGCATCCACCAAAATGCTTTCAGCTGCAGATGATGTGAAATCTGGTTGTACTGGAGCGGAATGCAGATGCATACCGTACATTTATGGGTTTTATTTATGTAAAATGTAACTTATAACATTTTCCTTGTGCTTAGCAATAATGTAATACCGTGTGTGATTTGAAAAGATCAGTGAAAGTTTAAAGGATATGAACATTGTTGCAAGAAACACTTTACATACAAGCTTTAGTTAGTCGTCTGGGTAGATGGATGGATTCAGAAACGTATAAAACAAAATCCCTTTATTACAATGAAACAATTTTATACAAACTTTACACAATTGCAAGGAAATCTTTAACTCAGTTGTACAATTTCACTTACAATGTTCAGCAGGAAAACAGAAACTGGACAAAACATCATCTATCGTGTGATATTATTTTAGGGCTATTATTTATCATTGTTCAGTCGTGTGTAGAGACCTGTTGTACTGCACAGGGAATCCTTACTCTGGATGTAAGAAAAGTCTCTGATCATTCCTGGGAAAGGATGCGAGTCCAACGGAGGACGCAGGGTCAACAGTGGCATCAGTCCTGATGTCACGTACGGAGACATGAATCCACCCAGACCACCGCTGGCAGAGGAGTAGGCCAGACGCAGGGGGCTCACACCGAGGTGAGGACTGAGCCCATAGAGGCTGTCCCCACCGGGAGCCGGGTGGACGTGGAGAGGGGAGAAGGCGGACTTGGTCCCTGCAGAACCGAGAGCTCCCGGCAGTCCGGCTGCAGGCTTGAACACTGAGCTTTGCAAAAGAGACGGCGACGAACCGCCAGTGTCGGTTTTCTTCTCCTTAGAGTTCAGGACCAGCTCGATGGATTTCACAATGTCCCCTTTACATGTTCTCACCATGGACTCCAGGGCATCCCGCTTCTTGTGGGGGAAGATCTTGGCCATGATGTCAGCAGGGTCACGGTCCAGATTTGGGAAGTCTTTGGGCTTCTCTGACTCGCTGCCAGACTCTGGGTCAGAGGACGAAAGCGACCTCTGTGGACTCTGAGTGTTATCTGAGAGCTGATCAGATGGCGGTGATGGACTTCCACTATCACTGGCGAATGAAGAGATGTTGTCCTTGCTGGGAGACAGATCCTTTCTGTCACTTGGAGAGGGCACCCGCGCATTCAGGGGCATGAAGAGTGGCTGACCCAGAAATCCACTGCAAATGCTGTATTTGCTCACTTTGCCATCTGAAACACAAAGGAAAAAAAGAGGAGTTTAATAAGTGAAGTGTAAGGTACTGCTACTGTGGCCTTGGATTAGGACAGTTTCACAAATGCGCTAAATGTATACAAAACTAAATAAGACCTGTTTATTTGAAAGTTATTTTAACAGTCAAATTTCAATTCTTATTTAATGCCTCCTATTGCTCATATCTAAGTTCAGAACAGATCTCATGCACACTAACTGCATAGCTACTTTAACGATAAACGAAAAATATATAGTTTTATATTTCCTCTCTGAGTCACTCACCTCTGCACCCAAAATAATAATTGTGACAGTGCTCTCAAATAAAATTTTGCGTAAATTTTGCCTCCAACACCCTTGAACCGACACTGCTGTGCCATTCTGTCCCAAAATTCTTAATCCAATAATATATACTTTACGCAACTTGTACGCGTTACTTGGTAAACTATTGCTATGGTAATAACCAAAAAATATACAATCTGTGTAGTACGAAGTTATAATAGCTTCAGGTTATGCTTAATAATTAAGAATATCCGTGTAAAACCCACCCTCTTTATGGTTCTGAGCGCCAAAAACGTCAAAACATGGAGCTGGTGGAGAGTTGCCGCTCGCCGGTGGCACTCCGCGCCCTACCGCCGGGCCCTGATTGATCCCCGCCTGCCCTCCGATGCCTGGGCCAGGGTACATGAGTCGAATCTCCCGCGCTTCGTTCTCCTCCTGAGCCTGCTGTCTCCTGAGTGCCACCTGCGCCGCCATCACCCGCTGCCGCTCCGCGATCAGGGTGCACTTTGCGCACACGCAGTCTCTCCAGCGACAGAACCGCTTGTGGCCCTTCAGCGCCGAGACTACGCCGTGGTTCCGACACCGGGCACACTTCGGGGTCCTCGGGTAGCCCCTCTCCAGCGCAGGGTTGCAGGCACGGAGAAAAAGAGGCGGGTGGCGCAGGAGGGAAGGGGCGATCGGGAGGCCTCCAAGCGGCCCGGCGGGGTGTCCGGCCATAGAGAGCGGTCTGATCCTGCTCTCCATCCAAAATTAAAGACTTGAACTTCTCCAACGCGGATGAGCAGTTGGTAGAAGGCCTTTCTGTGGGACTGAATACTCTATTGTGCGCTGGCACTCTGAGACAGCGCTCCTTAAGAGTCCCTTCACCAGGTGGTTTGACATGAAACCCAACACCCTCGTCACACCCCTTTCCGCTCAAGACTCCTAATACCCTATCATGTGTATTTGCGTCCGTGATTAGCGAGGGGCTAATCTGATGCAACTGAACCATTCATGTAGACCTGCCATGAAAAGATGTAAGTTTTTTTTTTTTTTAAATATTCAAAAATGTCCTAAGCTGAAAAAAGAATGATTTGCATTGGAGTTTTGCTTATGATGGCTACATTCTATGTGCCAGTGTGTTACAAACCAAGTGTAAAATAAATGAAAGAAGAGAGGGGTGGAGGGGGGGAAATATGTTGCCTGAGGTTACATTCATTCTGTTTCCTTAGTTTTCACTGTTTGGATTTTTTAACACAACAATAGCTCCAACAGCCTGAAAAGCAGCATGTAATTATCGACCTGGTTATTCTGTTGAACAAATTAGTTTGACAAAAGAGCCATCTGCCAACAAACAGCCAGTGTGATTCAGGGGATACCTAATCACACCTTGTCACTTTTCTTCCACTTCTCTGCATTCAGAGCAGGGTCCAGATCCAGTTACACACGCAGGACCGGCTCACTGTTATTGCACGTAAAGAACTTGAGTGGCAAACACAGTCATCGCTAAGGAAAACTAAAAACTAAAAGACGTTTCCAGTCTGTCGTTTTGTTGTAATTTTAACTTTTTTTTTTTTTTTAGATTTACATAAAAATATATTTTTAGGTGGTGAGAGAACTATATAAAGGAATAACTTGTATGACTTAAAAAATGGTGTGCAGCTTTTAATTTATTACCAATTTTCTATTATCCACACATGGTCAGGATTATACGGGCCAAATAATATAAGACCACGCAACTTTTTATTATGGATGAGTTCCCTGCCCTCTACCAATAAGCACATCCTCACTATGCTATTTTATAATCATTACAACAATTTTGGCATAATTCTGTCTGGATATTTGACCAATAGGTATTTTATTTAAGGGGTTTAATGAAATAGGTTGTTTTTTTGACCTGAGCCATTTCAACAATATGGAGGTCAGGGCCACATCAGAGATTTTTATGTTTGCTTGCTTCATCTATTCTAAAGCAAGTTTCATTGTCGTGTTAGAACATACGTTAGTGCCGTCTGACCAAAACTGAATCTGTTAAAATGTTCAGGAACAGTCCAGAAACAACCAAAGTTAAACTCTGTTATAAAATGGAAACTACTGAGAGTACCGAACCCACAGCTGGATGGTTGAGCTCTAAACCTAAAAATTAAAACTGGTTTTCAAACCATGGCATGAGGCTGCAAACCAATCACTGGTTTAAATAAACTCCATAATTTCTGATAGAAAGGATGTCGCAAAACTATGCGGTTTCTCCGTTTCTTACCAATGTTTAGTGTGGATCTGTGTCTTTATTTTAATCCTGCTTGAATTTAAACTTGTGTTCTTGAAAGGCATTGAAATTGTGCGTTTATATATATATATATATATACATTCATTCCAGCTTAAAAAGAACTTATAGTTCAGATATGATGAGTGGATATAAATCTCTGACATCTTTTTCAGTGGCTCTGTGGGTTTTTCCAAGCAGTTCTGATACCCATCAGTAATTTTATTTGAAATGCTCTGCTTATTTAGTCAGCCAGTCTGAGCCTTCAGTGCAGTCAGACACGAAAATGGTAAATAAAATGCTATGACGATGCTATCTCAAGTTGTCTCTTAATCATCTCGAATGAGACATAAAGGCTTCTCTTGGCCTCCCTGTAGTTTTGACTTCATATTCCTCGTGAATAATGGATGCAAATTAAAGAAGACGTTAAAGGAAGTACAGAGTCTCTTTGTGGTGTTTCGCAGAGATAATGATTCCCTGAGGGGGCATCTTTGAGGAAAGCTCTGCTCCAGAAGACGCAAAGGGGAAATTTTTATTTCCTGTAAGCTGTTGCTGCTCCATTGGGCTTGTAGGTGTGTCTGATAAGAACCACTGGAGCCCGAGCTCATGAGAAAATAACCGTGCATTTTTCAACTCTTCTTGACACAGTAATCTCTGCCGTTA